GTCAGACATATATACATGTGAAGGGCAGAGAACAACTTTTGGGTTCGTACCTTCCACCGTGTGGGTCCTATGTGTAGAATTTAGGTTGTCATGTGTAGTGCCTTTTCCTCCTGAGCCATCTTGCTGGTATTTCCCCTCCAAATGTTGGAAGCACCTTCTACACAGAAAGGTCAAGTTTCCCTCTCAACTCCACCCCTCCAGGGGTTCTTAAAGAGAACTAGGGGTGGAAATTGGGCTCTGTTTCAAAGCCCCTGTCATCTCAAACCAACCTGTTCCCAACTCTGGGGGCTCAGTCCCTTCAGGCTCCATTCTGAGGTGTCCACAGTGACTTGTGAGTGGGCCAGCTCTAGAAGAGCAAGGTAGAAGTCAGGGGAGCCTGATGTGATTCATCAGTTGTCCTAGGCTCTTGAGTGGTGGGAGCCAAGAAGATCACTTGTGTCCTCAAGTTCAAGACCAGCCTAGACTATATATCGCGGAAATCTCTAGAAAAGAAAAAGGGCTATAGATATGGCCGAGTGTCTGCCGCACAAGCGTGAGTCCTGAGTTCAGATTCCTAATACTTGAGTCAAAATAAAAACACATAAGGGGAGAAGTAATCGAGGAGCACACCAGGTCGGCAGCTGGCCTCCACATCAGGCGCACACTGTACACAAACACCACCAGGGGAAAAAAAGACCAATCTTGTCTTCACTAAAGATCAGCTTCCCCAAAGGCCAGAGCAAACCTTTCTGTCCCCGTGATTCCTTTTTACCTGGTCGTCGTCCTCTTTTTTTCTGCCATGTTTCTTTTTTTCCCTTTCTCTTTCTTGAGCAACATTGTTCCTTTTAGTTAGGAGCCCATGAAGGGTCCTAAGGTAGATCCTGGAAGCCACTCCTGGAGGCTCGTAGGCAGTGGTTCTGTTTAAAGTTAGTTAGTTGATCTCTAGGGCGTGACTGGACCCTGAAGGCCAGGAGCTCATCGTCACAGTTGGGTGAAATCTGCACACGTGTTTCCATTTCTTCTGTGTTTATCATTGTGGGTGTCTCTGGAACCATGAGAAGAGGCATAAAGAAATGTGTGGACCCTTGCGACACAGGTGATTTAGTCGGGTCAGGTAGAAAGTCAGGAGGGTTCTTGACCACCCACCGTGAAGTTGTTTCAGAGAGAATGATCATCCATCAAGATGTTGGAATCTCTTAGTGGCTACTTGAGAGGCAAAAGCAGGAGGATTCCACATTCAGGGACTGCCTGGTAACTCATGGAAACTTCATCTCAAATACGAAGTGAAAGGGGAGTAGGGACGGGTTTGGTGGCGTTCACCTGACAGAGAAGAATGACTTAGGATAGTCAAGCCCTTCTCAGAGAGAGAGTCTGACTGATGGAGTCTGCTGCTCAGTTTTAGTTGGGTGAGCTGGACTACTTTCTTGTCAAGAGGAAACGACTTGCTAGAAGAAAATCTTTCAAAGGCTTAAGGACTTTCTTATCCTTGAATTTTCACGTTTTAGCACTTCAGGTCAAGGTCCACTGTGCCCTTTGTCAGCCTCTTTGATGCTCTTAGGGAAGCGGAAGAAACCTGAAGTAACATCCTAAATCCCCACTTATAGTCTCAGACCCATCAACCCAAGGTGACAAGGGGCTCATCAGAAAATGGAAGCTGTCAGAATGCTTGCATACAGTGTCATCCTGGAAAGCCGCCAGTCCCCTGAATGATTTCCCTGACACTCAGTGTTTTACTGCGGGGTGCTTTAGGGGTTTCCTGGCACTGATGCTTTGTCACTGAGTGATTTTCTGCCATGGCAGGTGGTTTCAGGTGAATTCTGAAAGATACACCTTTGAATCCTTTATTTTTACCCTGGCTGTTCTGGAACTTACTCTGTAGACTAGACTGACCTCCAACTCAGAGATCCATCTGTCTGCTTTCCAAGTGCTGAGATTAAAGGCGTGGGCCACCACGGTGCATGCACTTTGATTTTCCACATTCAAGCCCAGAGTAGAAGCCTCCCTCAAGGACTGGGAATGTCCATCAAAACCCAAGTCCCCTTGCGACCCAGGCTCACTGCTGCCAAAGAACTTTGACTTAGTCTAGTCATGTATGTGGCTCTACGCTCCAGGCATGGCGCTGGGCTCCTACCATTCCAGAACACAGCAGACCCAGACAGCGGGAGAGAAAGGTCAAGGCTACCCTGGGAAACAGAGTGAAAAAAAAGTAGAGCCTGGTTAATTTTGCCATGTGTATTGGCAAGTTGTATGTGTGTGTGTGTGTGTGTGTGTGTGTGCGTGTGTATATATATATATAAATTTTAAGAAGCTAGTGTGATTAAATTCAAGCTTAAAAAGCTCATTTGATACCAGATTTTTAAAATTTCTCACTGAAAGCCTTTAGAACTCCTCAAAACCTCTCAGAATCCACCAAGTACAAGAACTAGGGGCCAAGGCTGGAGGAGTGAGGGTGTGGGGAACAGGCGAATGTCAGGCCCTTGAAAAGTTTCAATCCTATCGGTCCTGCCCCATCGTCCTTCTGCCTTTATCCTTAGGCCTGCTCTACCTGAGAAGAAGGTGGCTGACCTTGGCACCCTGAATGAAGTGGGCTATCAGATCCGGATCTAGCCAGGCCAGGCTGGCAAGGCTTCTATGGTGCTCTTTTCTGCACTTTCCGCAGCAGCTTTGGGACCTGCTTATCCATGAGGAACCGGTGCAGCTTTCATCTTGAACGACTTCCCTGGGAACAGAATCTGAGTGGGTGGACATGGTGAGCCTTGAAAAATGCTGTGGGCAGCAGGCATGACTGGCTAAGTGATGGACAGGCCCTTTGGTTGACTGTCTCCCTCAGGATCTCAAGGACAACATTGGAGTTTTCTATTTTTCCATTTGCCGACTGTTCCGCTTGCTTTGGACATTATGCCTCAGCTGTAGTCAACTTTGGAGTTCTCTCCACTCTCTGTAACCCAGCCAGTGTTACCGTCTTCTCAGCAATAACAAGCAAAGATGGTGGGTTTTTTAAACAGTTGATATTACCTCAACATTTTGGCACCAGATATGCAATCTTAATGAGTTTTTTATATTCTATTTGTATTGTTTTCCTAGTGTTTCTTATAGGGATCTGGATAGTTTGGAGGGTTTGTTGTTTTTTTGTTTTTGTTTTTTCTGGTACACACACGAGATGAGATTTAAGGTGTCATATGCAAATGCTTTAGCAAAAAGCACTGCAATTCTGGCAATAAGGGACAACACATTAAGGATCTTGGAGTCACTTAGAGCATCTGCTGACAGCAGGCTTCCCTCTTTCAAAACAAGAAAGCCAGTCCATGTCTGTTGCTAACATTTAAGCTTTCCCAAATCCAGCAAAAAGCACAAGAGGACACGCACTCACCAGAATCCAGCAGTGCAGAGATGTCCTCTGGCAGAAAGGTGCTCAAAAGACAGACCCTGGTCAGCCTTGGTTCTGAGGGTCTCGCCACTGTTAGTATGCTCTCTGCTGTCTTACATTAAGGCAAATGTGATGACGGACTATTTCCATCATCCACTTCATGGCATAAGGAGGTGCTGGGGAAAACCATGAACTCAAGAAGCAGGCCTGTCTTAAAAGAAAAGGTCCAGCCCAGCACTGAGCTCAGGTCCTGAAGCAGAGCAAGCCTGCCTGTGGCCACTGCAGTGCGACTTCTGAAGGCGTCTGGAAGCCAGCTTTAGGTCACGTGTGCAGCCACCATGCAGAAAGCCCAGCTCATTCCGAGAGCTCTCGGCATATGCTCCTCTGGCTGTGACTGACAGACCTGCTAACCGACCATTCGCTGAGTCTTCAGCAGGAAAACCTAGAGCTACAAGGGAGGCAAGAGCCCTGGGCATAAAAACTCGCTCCACCCTCAAGCCAGTATTGTTTTCTTGGAAAAGTTCAGTGTCCTCTAGAGACCAGAACCAGGAAACTAAAACAGTGTAAGCTTCAAATTCTGAACTTAATCGCTTTCTTCAAGAATCCTGTTAGCAGAGTTCAAGATAAGTTACTGGGCCTGGGAGAGCACTGGGAGGCCCTGCTCTGACCTTGGGACCCAAGGAAGCACCACTTACTGTCCTCCGTAGTCCCTCACGCGCTGTCGAGTCTCGGACTCAAGGCCGCCTGTATCTGAGTGTCCTGAGGAGCCGGAGAGTGCTTTCACTTTTTTGCTCAGCTGTTTATCCCCCCAAAACTGCTCCATGTGATACCCGGACTGATCAGAATTCAGCTACGAGGCCAAGTGCCCGCAGCTGCCTTGTTCAAGGATCGCTCACAAGAACGCCAGACAGTGGGACAACCTTAATCCTTGGCAAGACAGAATAGCACCCAGCTGTCCCTGGGTGCAACACTCTGCCATCTCATCTTTTCCACAACCACTTTGATTTTTAGATTCATTTTCCAAAGCAAGATTAGTCACAGAAACGTTTTAAGTGCTCTTTGCCATTCAATTTTACTGACTGTAGTTACATCAACTTCTAAAAACAGAAGACATGAAACACCTAAATTTTAATGCAACAGTTTAATTAAAACGAACCCAGCGTGTTTAACCTCTCCTCAGCCTGGCTGTGGTTTCAGAAGGCAGAGAGGAACAGTGCGAGGTGACTGGAGCAAGTTTATCCTGTGGCAAGATGTGCAGAGCTGAGCGACAAGCCTCAGGCTGCCCCGCTGCTGATTGTGAAAGGTGATCCCGGGTGTTTCCCGTACACTGGCATCTTGTGCATATCCCTCTCCTTGAGTCACCTATTTCATGGGGTATCCTCAGCAGACATGGGTAAGGGCTTTTGCAACCTTCAGCTTATTCTACAAGGTTTTTGTATGCTGAACTTTAATGTACAACCTTGTATAGTTTTTTGACACACAATTGAGATTCTTGTTTATTCTTAGACCTTGTTATATTGCAGAAGAGCCGTGGCTGTCTGGGTATTTTTCTAAGTGCACGGAGACTGACGGTATCTAAGGAGCGCCAGGAGAGCATGCTTCAGGCTTGCGTTTCTCTCATCACGTGTGCGACACAGCATGGAACTGCAGTAAAAACCATTCTGGAAACTGAGGTCTTTGGGTGTTTTGTTGCTGTTTTGTCCTACTGAATTAACTTACATTTCTCAAGCTCCTCTTTCGGGGGCTCTGTTGAACATTACTCTGGGTGTTTTTCAATCACTTGCCTCTTACCTTCATCCTGACTGACACAGGCTGCGATGGGTACAGGGACAGTTCAGGGTGACGTTTACCACAAAACCCAACAGAGATGTGCAAATATAATAATTTATTACAGTTTATAGATACAAAGTAGAAAGGACTTGAGCATTCCTATTGTCTTGATGGCAAAGGTACAGAAGAACCAGACTACCATCACTTTACAGTTTCCCTTTGCATTTAAACCTTGGCCAGCAGGAGGCTGGGGAGATGGCTCAGTTAGAGGAAGACCTGAGTGTGAGCCCAGGACCACATGAGAAGCCAGGTAGGTATCCACATGTAATCCCACACGAGGGAGGCAGAGACAGGGGGATCTTGGCCTTGCTGGTCAGTCAGCTTACCCTACTTTGGCATGTTCCAGGTCAGTGAGAGACCCTGTCTTAAAATAGAAGGTGGACAGCTCCTGAGGAATAACACCCAAGACTCACCTCTGGTCTCCAGACGTGCGCGCACACGCACACACACACACACACGATAGTACACACTTGAAACTGAGCTCTGACTTCTGCAGTCAGCCAGATCAGACTGTGCGCATACACACACATGCGTACACAAACATGCATTTTAGACTGAGATATGATCAGATTGTGCACACACACATGGATAGTACATACTTTAGACTGAGATCTGACTTCTGCAGTCAGCCAGATCAGATTGTGCTTGGCAGGTAAACATAAGGCCCACCAGAGGAGCTGCCAGCTTTTCTGTCAGAAGAGTAGAGAAAATAGATCATTTTTATTGGAGCTCAAAAAGCTTGTGAAAAGTGTCTGGGCCACAGATGAACACTGATAAGCTAACAGCAGTTTATGGGTTAATTGTATCAAAGTGAAGTACACGAAATGGGTCTAAACTCATAACATATTCATCAGGATATAAAAACGTTTTGCAGAGGTTTTCAGGAATGTCAGTTTGCCAACAATGATGTTTACACTAATTCACTCAACCCCCGTATTAAAAAGGGACAATTACCACTATAATCTAATAATGATTAGATCTTCTAACCAGACCCTTGGCACTACTGAAAACTGGGGGCATCTTGGCACTATGTTATCCAGGTGAGACCCTTTGTCACTGCAGTTCTCAGTGGACATGTCTTTACAGTCTCTATACCTCTGAGGCAGCCATCTAGTAGACGAAAATAATTGTAATAAATAACTTAAAAATTTAAATTGCAAAGACTTAACTGTCTAATTTAAAACATTCTATTAATAAAAATTGCTGTAGAAAACACTTGTAATTTACTGCACTATAAGGACTTAGTAAAAATGCCTGTAATCTAATGCTCCTATCTTAGAAAGCAGGGGGAATTTCTACTTACATTGAAGGGTACCCGACACTTGCACAGGGAGAGCTAACAGGCCTTGTCAGACCGCTGCGAGGCTTCCCCCAGCGTAGGACCGTGGCACACTGCTGCACCACTGCACCAGAAAGCTCAACACTGCGGCCTAGAGTTAGTCTGCGGAAGCGTGGAGTGTGCAGCTCCCGGGCCTAAGCCGTGCTTCCCTACGCTCTGGCTTCTGCACACTAGAGATGAACAACAATAGGAGTAGAGCTGCCGCTTTCTTCCAAAGACTGATTTTCTAAAATTTATATAAAATGGGTCGACAAAATGTCACTCCTGACCCAAGGGTCTTCTACTGTCACCAAACAGAAAGGGAAGTACAGGGGGACACAGTTACAAGCCAGGGTTTGCCGCCTTCTTGTCTATCTTTGAGTCAGGGTCTTGCTGTGTAGCCCAGCTGACCCTGAACATGCAGTGCTCCTGCCTGTCTCCTGGATGCTAGCACTACACACGTGCATGGCTGCTCCTGGCTCATCTGCTCTCCTTGGGGCAACCCCTGGACAGGACAGGAGTGGGCTTAGATAAAGCACTTGGACCTCTTTTTTTTTTTTTTTTTTTTTGGATACAGGTTTTTCTGTGTAGTCCTGGCTGTCCTGGAACACAGTCTGTAGACCAGGCTGGGCTTGAACTAGATTTGCCTGCCTCTGCCTCCTGAGTGCTGGGATTAAAAGCATGGGACACCACCAATCCAGCTTTTTTTTAAGACAGGGTTTCATGTAGCCCAGGTCTCAAATTTGCTATGTTGCTAAAGTTGGTTTTAAATGCTAATCCTGCCTCCACCTCCCAAATGCTAAGATGTAAGGTACGTACCACCATGCTGGCTAAGAGCTTTGCCCTCTTATGAGAATGACCTATATTCCTCAAGTATTTCCCCTACAAAGTGTAGGCATGTCCCACAGCTCAGGATGGAGTGAAGTGGGTCAGCATTTGTTCAACTCAAGAGCACATCAAGCCCTGGAGGAGCTACTGTGGTTGGACACCTGTGACTGAATGACCAGTGACTCCTAAGAACTGATTAGCTCTCAGCAAGCACAGACTTCTCCCAGTGAAACCAGACCTCCATGAGAGGCAACGCCTGAGCTCTGCTAGTTCCGGAGGTCCACCGGATGTACTAAGTTCATAGCTGGAGGGCCAAGGAGAGGAACTACATTTTAAAAATGCTGTTAACTTCACCAGGACTTAAAAGTTATTTCTATCTTTTACAATAAAGTGTTTAGACATCGTTGTCAGAAAAATATTCCATTAAAAAGCTGTTGTAAACGTGTTCCTTCCAATCTGCTCAAGCAAGTTCAGAACCCCACAGCACAAAAATGAGTATCATGCAAACAGTATCTTCATAGTCTTTGAGAAGACAGGAAGCTGTGTGAGTGAGCACTGAGTCAGAGCTCCAGCCTGAACTTAGCCAGCAGAGGCAGGTGGTCTGAGGAGTTGTGTTCATTGGGAAGCCCATTCACGGTCCACAGGTCTTGCTCTGTAAGAAGCGACAGTCTAGCTAGAAGTTTCAAGCCACCAACCAAAGCAACTTCAGCTCCTAGTTGAAGAAGCACATATTTAGTGAAGCTGTCATTAAGCAGGCAAGGTTGTTTGTTTTAAACAGTGAGAAAGAACCTGGCTTAGCAGAAAACATATGGAAGATTTTAGAGTATAAAGTTTTGTGAAGTTATAACTAATAATCCTAAATCCGCAGACTCATGCTATTTATGCCAGGTAATTTTTCTATTCCAATTTATGAAATTTACACCTTTGAAAGATTAATACAATAAAATGTTAAGAATGTGCACTGGGTGGTGGTGGTGCACTCCTTTAGTCCCAGAACTCAGGGGGCAGAGGCAGGCAGGAGTTTACGCCAGCCTGGTCTACAGAGAGTTCTAGGAGAGCCAGGGCTATACAGAGAAACTGTGTCTTGAAAAACAAAGGCATTTGATATTGAGAGCCACTTAAGAATGATCCACCAAACCACTCAAACTGCCTAGAGCCAAGCTGCCAAGGTGACTGCAGGATAAAGTGACATACATGCTTTGAGCCCACTCATTCTCCCCTCAAGTGGAAAATAACCTGCTGCTGATCCTGGCACTCTCCTGCCACCTAGTGAGCTCTGTAGGCATGGCAGCTTCCAGACCGTACTGAGAGCAGCAACACTGGGTAGTTGGTTCAGTTAGGACTGAGGTCACTGAGAAGGAATGCCCAGGAGGAACTAACCGGAGAGAAGCAGCATCAGAAAAGGTGGTGGGGAGTCTGCCTTGTCTAGGACTCCAGATGTTTCCCTGAGTGTTTTCAGATTTCCAATTATCCTCATGTCTGCTCTGTTTTAAGTCCCTCAGTTGGTGTATTCAGCCTGACTTCCTGCTGAGCTGCACTGGACAAGTACTGAAAATAGTGACCAGCTCCCTCCCTCAGGTCAGCATGACCAGCACAGACTGGCTTTGCAGGGAAGGCAGCATGACTTTCTAACCTAATGACTATCGACTCAGTGCTGCCACAGGAAGGCAGGATTTATTGTGAAGAGCAGATGGCTTGGATTTAGAACTGACTCTGACTGGCACTGAAGGACCCCCTGAGGATGCACTCTGTAAGAATCTGCCGTGGGGTGCTTTATTGCCTTGTGCTCTGTAGGCGGTCAGGACATGTACCGCTGCATCAGTGGTTTTCCCATCTCCCTCTACATCCAGACCTTCACCTCTGTGCCGAGGAGAACTAAGATTCTCCCCGACTGCATTCTAGGAGTTGGGGATCCACTATTCCTCACCTGGACCCCGAGCAGCGTCCTCCTTTTCTGCAGAGTAGAAAATATAGTCAACAGTTATGGCGCTCTGGGAATGGCAGGTGGTCACCTCTGGAAGTCCGGTGTCAGGAAGGTAGTGAGAGTAAACAGATGACAGGCTGAAGTGGTGCTGGAGATGTGAAGACACACTAAAGAGAAGAGAGAAGGGCTCAGTATCCATCAGAATTTTCAAAGGAAAAATTCTCACCTAAATTACTTTTCTACTCCATTCCTGGACTAAACCTGGATACTTTTTATTACTGTTTATAGTCTTTTTATTTTGTTTTTCAGACAAGGCTACGTTATAGCCCAGGCTTGAGTGGAACTTGCTTTATACCTTAGGCTGGCCTCAAATTTGTGGCACTCCTGTCTCAGTTGCTGAAGTACTGGTCTAATATGTGTAAGCCAGGTGCCTGGCTCTTCTGCAGCTCAGGCTGGCCTCACTCTTACACAGCCAGGCTGGTCATCTCACGACTCTTCCTCCTCAGCCTCCTGAGTGCTATGACAGGTGTGAGGCGGGCATCACTCAACAAACCAGATCCTACGCCAGGCTCCTTTGCTGACACAGGAATGTAAGCCAATGACAACTAAAACCCAGCAAATGACGCCAAATGGGGTAAGAGGTAAAGAATCAATGTGTTAATTAGATCTTAGAATTATACATGTTTGAGAACCTCCATTTAAATAATCAGCATACACTCCTAAACAGCATGCACGTTTTGGTTGTGGTTTTAAGGACGCTCTAAGTGGGCTGTGGTGTGCAGGGCTATTCAGGACCTTCTGGATCTCTGCTGGCAAAGAAGCCACAGGCCTGACATGCTTCTGCTGCCCTTAGGACACTGCCAGAGTGGCTCACATTTACTGCTGCAAAGACATGTCATGTCTCAGACAAAAGAGCTAAAGATCATTTTCTAATGCCATGAATTTTAAGAGCTATTTATGCTATAAAGGCAAAGTAAAAAAAAAATTTAGAACGTTCTTAAGTTCACTCAACAAACATTTACCAAACATCTATTAAATTCTACACATCATTGTAGGTGCTAAGGGACATATAAAAATGTAGCTCAGTAGTTAAAAGCACTGCCTGCTCTTCCAAAGGACCTGGGTTCAATTCCCAGCACCCACACAACAGCTCACAACTGTCTGTAACTCTGGTTCCAGGGGACCTAACAGCCTCTCACAGCACAAATGCAGGCCAAATACCAATGTACATGAATATTTAAAAAAAATGTGGCCCTTGATTTTAGTAAGCTTCTAAATCAATAAACACAGGTTAACTCCTTAAAAATACCCTACCTGGCTGGGCGGTGGTGGTGCACACCTTTAATACCAGCACTCAAGAGGCAGAAGCAGAAGAGGCAGATCTCTATGAGTTCAAAGCCAGCATGGTCTACAAAAGCTAGTTCCAGGACAGGCTTCAAAACTATAGGGAAACTGTGTCTCAAAAAACAATAACAAAAAAACAAAAACAAAACAAAAAATCCCTACTTAGCCAGGCAGTGGTGGCTCATGCCTTTAATCCCAGTAGGCAGGAGGATCTCTGAGTCTGACACCAATATGGCTTACAGAGCAAGTGTGAGGGCTACACAAGAGAAACTCTATTTCAAAAAACAAAACAAAAAGAGCAAATAAAACCCCAAGCCCCTAACTTCCAACTTTTAATGTCTAAGGACTGACATTCACAAGCACTAATGTGAAAGGTGAGGCATGTCTATTATCCCACACGTGGGAAGCTGGAGCTAGCCTGAGCTACACGATGAGACACAAAAGCATGTTAAGAAGTCCTTCAAGCTGCGACCTTCCAGTGTTTCAGGTTAGAGACGAATGCTGTGTGGAAGCACACTGACCTCCCAGAATGCCGGAGTTCGAGGATGGACATAGCAGCACTGAGTATAACTGTACTTCCCTGGAGGCTAAGGAGGGCAAAAGCTCGAGGCTAGCCTAGGCTACACAGTAAAACCTTGTAAGAGATCTAATTACTCAAACCCATAAATTGTTATGCCACTTAGTTTTTGATATATTTAAAATGTTTAAGTCATTTTTTAAAAACTGCTTCTTTCCTTACTAGGTTATTTCTTATAAGAAAATGTTTTCTCAGAGCTGGAGCGATAGCTCAGCGATTAAGAACACTGGCTGCTCTTCCAGAGGACCTGGGTTCAAATCCCAGAGGACCCAAAGGGCAGTTCACAGCTGTCTGTAACTCCTGTTCCTGGGGATCTGATTCTTGCATACAGACATACATGCAGGCAAAACATCTACCTATGTATATAAAATAAAAAATAAATACATAAAAAAAGACATGTTTCCCCTCTAACAACACATACAAAGTGAAAAGAATGAGAATAAACTGAAGGAGATATGCTAATGTGGTCCCTACATTTAAATGCTGAAAGTATCTTGGTTACAATCTAAGATAAACATCTTAAGAATCTTAGAGAGACAAGATGTAAGTCTGTCTTGATATATTAACATAGACCCACTTCTCAATCAGCCCAAACATTCATGGCTCTTTTTAAAATGATACAGGTTTCTTCTCTCTTCTGATGTTTTCCACCAGTCCAAGAGAAAATGACAATGACCTCTACAGAATGCTGTTTGGGTCGTTTTGTCTGTGAACTGAGATCTAGTTAGTAAGATAAGACTAATGACCCACTGAAATCAGGAAGACACTTTATTGGAAACTTCAGAGGTCCTGGGCCAGCCCATGCCAGTCCAGGCGCATGTGCTGTGTCCAGACACTGCCCAAGCATGCCAACCATGAGATCTACTTTCCAAGCTTTGGCTCCCTGAATCCTTACAACCCATGGAGGGAAATGGAACTGGGATGCCTGGTTCTCAGTTACAAAACAGCAGTCAGATCTGAATTCATGAGTATCTGTCTTAAACACAGAAGCCTCTGCAGCACGAACAGCATCAACTTCATTTTGTACCCAAGTGTTTCCTGAGGTAATTTTTTTTGCGTGACTCACTTTTCAGCTGACACTCCAACCTCTGCCTTCTCCAGCGGGGCCTCCGTCAGACCGCTGTCTGAAAGAGCAGGGGGAAGCATGTCAATCAAGTGTGCACACTGGTTTGTTCTAGTTTGTCCTATCACTGCCTTCTCTAGATCCAGATTCACGGTATGTCTAGTTTAAATGTCTGGTTCCATGTTTGATCCCATGGTCTACAGAATCGGGGGTGGGGTGGGGGGTGGAAATGAAGACAATTCGAAGGCAATACACAAGTTATTCATGAACAAATAACACTGGAATTTAACTCTTAAAAAGGAAATCTGTAGTGCATTAATCAAAAGACAAGCAAATAGCTATTTATATTTATATATATGAGCATTCATGCCTAAGATTCTGAAACTTTGAAATTTGAGCCTCTGTCTTCACAGGGAAGATGGTCACCCGGAAGCCGGCCCGAATGTACTGTAAACACTCACCTGTCTTTCCTGCTCTGGGAACCTGCTGTGTCTCATACACACAGCTCTGGGAGATGCCCAGGTCTGGGGGCCAAATTGGAATAGATAAGATTCTCTGTCCCCGAGATGACTGTTCCTGGCCAGATACCTGCACAGAATTTCAGTAGGCATCTTACATGAATAGACTTTAGCTAATTAATGTATTAAAGCTTTATATCTTAATAAAAGTAATCAGAAATGATAAGCATATCCTTCATTTTATATAAATGATGACCTGTGATTACAAACGCCATCCAAATACAGTTCAGAGCACCCGTCATTTACATGGAAATGACAGGCTTCTCACCTGCATGTGCTCCTCATTTGAACATGTACCTATCTACAGCGTTCCCATAACACTCCCTTACCCTTTCTGCTACCTGTAATATAGTTTCTATTGTGTCAAATGCTATGATCAAACCAAATTTAAAACTATCCTTGAAAATTCTGCTAGTGGAAGATTTACTTTGGTTAAAATACTGAAAACCAAATGATCTAAAACAAGCAGAATGAAGCATGGAAATATCATCCAACGCCAAGTAAAAATAACTCAAAGTTGAATAAAAATCTATTTCCACATTATGTAAGAAAAAGCATTCGTATGTAAAGGAAAGCTCACACAATGACTACTGAATAACTATATTGCTCATGTAAAGCACGCAGGCAGAACTCCTCTTATCCCCGTGAAAGGGGTTTTCAAGTTATCTTTGCCTGTAACACGTCTGTCAACCAGCTAATTTCTTCAAACAGAATGCTTCCAGAAGTGGAAAGACAAAACCAAACCAAGTGAACAGAGCCACATGTTGGTAACTGTAGGAAACCATACTATCTTAGCACAGTCATCTATGGATTGCCCGGTGGTTTTCACACGGCCACATAATGAATCCTTACTCCAACAATGACCCTTCCCCTCATTCTCATAGGCAGAAGCCTACTTCCTACCAGATGAAGCAAGCACTTGCCTTTCCAATTGCAAGTCCTTCATAATTCAATTTTCCTTCCTTTATGAAACTATAGAGTGGAGAACCAGGAACAGAGTTAAAGTCACCACACATGATGATGGGACAGAAGCTGCCGTCTTTCCGATGGGCCACACTGGAAATCTCTGCGAGCAGCATTGCCAATTGAGTCAGCTTAATATCACCTCGCCGTGGGTTATACAGCAGATGAGTGTTAGCTACACAGATGGAGGGAGAGGCTGCACGTGGCATCTTGGGCTGCAGGAGTAACACTAATCCAATGTTGTCTCTGTCCAACAGAGGAATGTCACGACGGCAGAATTCCACTGGGTTCACGGATAGGAGTGAAAATTTGGCATGTTTGAAGCAAATGGCACAGCCATCAGGTTTCCTGCCTGTTTTCATCTTATATTCACAGTGATAACCTAGAAGGAATGAATTTAGAAAAGAGACTGTATATCAAAACACATTCCTCTTAATATTTTAAAGCAATGTTTGACAAAGCTTATTCTATAAGACAGGATGCTAGTACACATTAAAACCAAAGTTTAGGAGCCAAGCAGTAGTGGCACTTGCCTTTAATCCCAGCACTTGGGAGGCAGAGGCAGGCGGATCTCTGTGAGTTCAAGGTCAGCCTGGTCTACAGAGCAAGTGCCAGGACAGGCTTCAAAGTGACACCCATAAACCCTGTCTCGAAAAATAACAACAAGACAAACAAACAAAAAACAGGGGCTCAGTAGTTAAGAGCATTGCCTGCTCTTCCAAAGGTCCTGAGTTCAATTCCCAGCAACCACATGGTGGCTCACAACCATCTGTAAATAAGATCTGATGCCCTCTTCTGGCCTTCAGGCATACACGCAGAAAGAATATTGTATAATATTATACAATATTAATAATAATAATATATAATAAATAAACAAATATTAAAAATAAAATTAAAAAATTAAATAAAAAAAAACAAACAAAAAACAAAGTTTAGGTATAGAGCCAGGGATGTCAGGGGAGACCATGGGCCCAGCTAGCTTAAGACTGTTTTAACTGCACCACTTAAGAAAATAAATTCTGTAATATCTTATTTCTTTTCTTCTTTCTCTTTTGGTGGTAGTAGAGGTGTTGGGGATAAACTCAGGGCCCCACACATGCTAGGCAGGCACTCTACTGTGGATCTAAGTTCTCAGCCCACGGGTCTGCAGAGACAGGGACCTACTATGGATCTCAGGCTATCCTGGAATTTACCATATAGCTCCAAATGGCCTTGAACTCCTCATCTTAATGCCTCAGCATCCTTAGTGCTGGAATTACAACGAGGCCACCACACCACACACCTTATGTCTAACTCCAAGCAGGGAGCAGGCTCCCACACTTGTAATGCAAGCATTTGGAAGCAGGCAGGTGAATTATGAGTCTGAACCACCGAGTCATATAGCAAGGCCTTGTCTCAAAACCAGCACGCCTACGTTTCTTTATTAGCAGACGCAACCCTCCAACTCAGTTATAACAAGTACAGTAAAGCCTTACAGTAATTTATTCTGATCCTTTTGTCCCTTTTCCCCATCCACTCTCTGTGGACCATATTGCCTGAATCGATGTCAACATCGGAGCCTTTCCTGTGCTAGCTCTGCTGGCTAGGATGCTCTAGGTACAGCTTGACTCTCACCCACTCCAAATCTTTGTTCAGACTTCACATTGTCCAGTCATTCCTTGTTTGCTGTTCACTTACACACATCCCACTAAGGAGGAGGCCGGCTGCTGAGACCAGCCTTGTGTCCACTTGCTAGAACAGCCTAAAGTATAGGCAGGCACTCAGAAAGTGCCTGCTAAATGAATGCCATGTGGGCACATTTTTCATATTTCTTATCTATAAATCAAATTCTAGAAGCTTCTTCATGAGACAAGGCTTTATCTTTTATCTGCTAGGCCATAGTAAAGTCTTCTATTGGTGAAGTAGGAGGCCTGGTCCCTGACAGTGCCCTCCTGGGAACATTTCCCTTTTAAGATCAGATCAATGTGAAATTTCCAGCAGAAATGCCGCAATATTTGCTTGACATTTGGGAATAGCTATCACATTTTCAAAACTAAGTTATCCCAAAGGGACTGGAGATGGCTCAACAGTTAAGAACACTGGCTGTTCTTTTTTTTTTTTTGTTTTGTTTTGTTTTTGTTTTTCGAGACAGGGTTTCTCTGTGGTTTTGGAGCCTGTCCTGGAACTAGCTCTTGTAGACCAGGCTGGTCTCGAACTCACAGAGATCCACCTGCTTCTGCCTCCCGAGTGCTGGGATTAAAGGCGTGCGCCACCACCGCCCGGCAACACTGGCTGTTCTTAAAGAGAACCTGTGTTTAGCTCTAGAACCCACATGGTGGCTCACGACTGCTTGTAATTCCATCGGACACAATGCCCTTTTCTGGTCTCCACAGGCTTGGGTCTCACACATGGTACACAGACATACATGCAGGCAAAATATCCACATACATAAAATAATAAATTTAAAAGTTATCCCTAGAGCTAGGGAGATGGCTCAGTGGTTAAGAGCCCTTACTGCTTTTCCAGAGGTCCCAGGTTTGGTTTACCGTACCCATATGGTAGCTTACAACCACCTGCAACTACAGTTCTAGGACATCTGACACCCCTTTCTAATCTCCATGGATCAAGAATGTAGGCAAAACTTACATACATAAAAATAAATAAATCTTAAAAAGTTAAAAAAAAAAAAGAAAAGAAAAATAGCTGGTCAGTGGAGGCACACACCTTTAATGCGAGCATTCAGGAGGTAGAAGTAGGTGGATCTCAGAGTTGGAGGTCAGCCTGGTCTACAAAGTGAGTTCCTGGATAGCAAGAGCTGTTACACAGAGAAACCCTGTCTCGAAAGACAAATACACATAAATAAACATATGAATGAATAAAAGCTATACCCAAATATAGCATCTTCTGTTTAAAATTACATTTTAATAATATGAAACTCTGAAAGAATAAGACTGGAAAAGTAAATAAAGGTCCATTGTACCCAGTGATTCCAGACTTGGCCTGATTTCTGTTCCATAATGATCTTCTTGAACTTCCTGCAGACAAAGCACCTTGAAGAAAACAGTGGTTTAAATTAAAACACACAGATGCAAATATAAATTCTATTTAAATCTGACAGCGTAGAAATCAAAGTGACATATATACCTTTTCTTATTTTTAGGATAAATTAATGTTCTTCCTTATTTTAATTTTGTTTGTTTGTTTTTTCAAGAAAAGGTTTCTTTGTGTAGCCCGGGCTGTCCTGGAACTCACTCTGTAGACCAGGCTGGCCTTGAACTATGATATCTGCTTGCCTCTGCCACCCAAATGCTTTGAATAAAAGGTATATGCCACCACTGCCCCGGTTTTTTTTATTTAATTTTTTGAAAAAAAAAATTATTGCTGGGTGCATGCCTTTAATCCCAAAACTCGGGAGGCAGAGGCAGGCCTCTATGACTTGGAGACCAGGCTGGTCTACAAGCACTAGTTCCAGGACAGGTTCCAAAGCTACTAGAAACCCTGCCTTAAAAAAACAGGGGAAAAAAAAGAAAGAAAAAAAAAGCATTGCTCTCAAATACTCTATATCAAAAAAAATATGTTTCTAAACATCTAATTATCTCAAAACCATGGCCTACACTCATATGGGATAGCATTCTTATCATTCAAAACGGTCTATTTCCTGAAAGAACTGTTTTGTATTGTATATATGTGAGGCTATTTTTCCTGACTTTCCATGTTCATCATGACTAAGCTCTTGGGTGTCACTATCTAACCCAGAGCAGCCTTGAACTCAGAGTGGTCCTTCTGTCTCAGCCATGTGCTAGGTTACAGACATATGATACCATATCTGGCTGACATACTTTTTTTAAAAAAATTTTTTTTTGTTGAGATTTTGTTTTTACTTTAGCTATAAATGCTTTGCCTGAATTTCTGTGCACCATGTTTCTGCGGTGCCCACAGAGGCCAGAAGAGGATGTCAGATTCCCTAGAACTTGAGATACAGATGGCTATGTGTTGCCATGTAGGTGCTGGGAGTTGAAACCAGGTCCTTTGGAAGAAGAGCCAGTGTTCTTAACCACTAAGCCATCTCTCCAGTCCTGTGGGTCCTTTCCTAAGGTTGGTTTCATTCCAGCAACCCTCCTGCCCAAAACAAAACAAAATAACCCTGCCTCTTTAGCTGCACTTGGCACTTGATAGGTAGACAGAAAAACCAGTTCAAGGCTACTAGAAAATTTTTTATCATGTAGATGAATTTTTGCACAAATTATTGAAATTTCAAGACCAATATTTTTTCTGAAAATGCTTTATCTGATTCTCAAAGTTGACCATACTTAAAAACTTTCAGCTCTTTTGAAAAGCTAGGTGAAGCTTTCATTTTGATGAAAAGTTAGGTGAAGCCTTATTTTGATGAAGTTAAATTCAATTAAAATTTCTTCTGAAGTTGACTGAGATCGTAGTGAAAAGCTTTTTAGGCATGGGAAAATGAGAAGTGGACCCAAACCAGTTTCAAAGGTGCATATGGTTGCATGTTGACATGGCCTTAGTTAATGAAACATCAGCATCCTCAAGAACCTTGCAGCACCAGGTCAGCATCAACCACAGGAGCTTCGAGTTCATCTTCTGCTTGAAAAGCATGCAGCCTCGAGGTGCCACCTGGGTGTTAATCCTCCCTAAAGTTTTAAGAGAAGCTTTCTTGGACCATTTTTAATTTTTTTTTTTTTTAATTTTTCGAGACAGGGTTTCTCCGTAGCTTTTGGTTCCTGTCCTGGAACTAGCTCTTGTAGACCAGGCTGGCCTCGAACTCCCAGTGATCCGCCTGCCTCTGCCTCCCGAGTGCTGGGATTAAAGGCGTGCGCCACCACCGCCCGGCCCATTTTTAATTTTTATGTCACAACTTAAACTCAGCTATCCTAAACTACCGTGTTACTGTCAAACTTCTCTAATATAAATGTGTACTTCAGATGTATTCATTTACTCATTTTCAAACTTCACTGTGTTTAAGAACTATATGGGGATTCCATGAAAATGTAAATTCTTCAATGTATATTTTATACACATATATAAATGTCATAATGAAACCTCTTACCTTGTCCAACTTAAGAAAATTAAAGATTTTTAGCATGGTACTGTTTTAAGTAATATGGGAAGTGTTCCATAGTTTTCACTTTCAAACGTTACAATAAGTAGACATAGATAAAGATTTTTTAAGACATAAAAATTTGTACAAAGTGCATTATTATTTTGAAAAGATCAACACAGGGGGCTGGAAAGATAGCTCAGTGGTTAAGAGCATTGCCTGCTCTTCCAAAGGTCCTGAGTTCAATTCCCAGCAACCACATGGTGGCTCACAACCATCTGAAATGTGATCTGTATGCCCTCTTCTGGCCTGCAGGTAGACACACAGACAGAATATTGTACACATAATAAATAAATAATTAAAAAAAAGATCAACACAGAAAATTTGACAGAATTATAAAAATCAAAGACAGGAAAATAAAATGATCTTGTATTTTATAATAATAATAATAATAAAAAGCTAGGTGAGGGGCTGGAGAGACAGCTCAGAGGTTAAGAGTACTGGCTGCTCTTCTAGAGGTCCCGAGTTCAATTCCCAGCACCCACATGGTGGCTCACAAGCATCTGTAATGAGATCTGGTGCCTTCTTCTGGCCTGCAGGCAGACATGCAGACATCAAGAAAAAAGAGCTAGATGATTAATTCTATCAGTGACTGCTAACAAGGGCTCCCCCTCACTAAGACTCTGCCCAGGAATGCACAATCGACCACTGTCCTCGGAACAGAAGCTCTGACACGGCTTCACACTTACATCGGCATCAAAATGTTTGATTTCTTTCAGGATATTGGGGAACCGGAAGCTCCAGTGTAACACTGGACGCCGGCAGTGTCTGTAGAGGTGCGAGTTATCCTCCAGTAAGTCTTGGGAGAGGATATTGTAAGACATCACTGAAAAGTCGAATTTTCCTTCACTGTCCTCACACGTGGAGTCGGCATTCTTGTCTTCTCCGTCCTTCATTTTTTCTTTATTATGGCTACATAAATACTCCCAATTCCTTTTTATTGTTCCTGTTAAAATATATCGGACAAAATATAAAAGAATCAATCAAAAGGAGACCAGACAGTTTCATGTACACAAAAATTCTTGGAGAGAGCAACACGACAGTCCCCATGTGGGCTGTGCTCAGGTGGGCTGCCCAGGCATCAAACCCATGTGCTGGCTGAGGCTAGCATATCTTCCTGGAGGCTGCACTTCCTCATTTGTCTCTGGTTAAGAAGGCTTCCATCAGTCATGCTCAGCATTCTCTATTGCAATGAGAGATTCCTCCAGAGCTGCTTTCCAGAGATGACCTCCCAGCACGTTTCATTCCATATCCAGATCATCAGTTACTTTAGTTCAGAATTCCGGTCTACTCATGAATGGAGGGTTGTATAGAGTGACAACTTGTGGGAATGGCGTTTAGTGTCTAAAATGTGAAAGTGGGGCAGTGTGGACAGAATGAACAAAATGAGCTGTTACATACAGGGATCCTTGTCATCTAGGGATACCACAACAAAAGTTAGCATGGCATTACAGAATGTGCTAGACAAACAGCAGAGGCTGCTTAATCAGCCTTGCATACAACCACCAAAGACAGTATTCTCTGAAAAAGCAATCAAAGTGGAAAAGAAAATACAAGATTCTGCCAGGCGGTGGTGGCATAGGCCTTTAATCCCAGCACTCAGGAGGCAGAGGCAGGTGGATCTCTGTGAGTTAGAGGCCAGCCTGGGCTACAAGAGCTAGTTCCAGGACAGGCTCCAAAACTACAGAGAAACCCTGTCTCGAAGGAAAAAAAAAAAAAAAATTCTGTAATTACAGATATTTCTCAAATGAGAAATTATCATTTTCTGAGGGTGCATATGCGTAAATGCATACACCCACAAGCTCCTATTCAGGCCCAGGGGCACACAGGGTACATGTGTGTGGTATGTATGTACTCATATCCAGACCTGCACTCAGTACCAGCACTTGAAAAGCTGAAATAGGAGGATCAAAAGTTCAGGGTTAGCCTGGCCAACATACTATGCTCAAGGAGATAAAACAAACAAACAAACAAACAAACAAGGGCTGGGAATTACTTGGTGGTTGAGCACTTATCTGACAAGTGGGTTCACTGCCTAGTGCCAAAAAAAAAAATGAGTAAGTACATTTATCTTTGATCCCATGTCTTATGTCACATTAGTGAGGACGTGTTTAGTGTCATGGAAGCCATGAGAAAAACAGGAACATTTAGTTAGCCTACAAACTCAACAACGAGGAGAAAACCTAACAGATGGAGGTGGCTGGCCAAGCATGCTGAGGGTAAAGGACAGCTTGACCACAGACCCACAGACTGGCTTCCTCTATCCTGCATGTGGGTTTTCATGTCATTGGATTACAAAGCCTAAAATTCTAACTGGAGCTGCCTGAGCATGAGGCTTTCCTCCTGTAATTCCAACACTCAGGAGGACAAGGCAAAAGGACTGTCAAGAGTTAAGGCCAACCTGAGCTACAGTGTGAGTCAATGTCTCCAAAACCAAACCAAAAAGGAATTACATGGGAACAGTTAACTTACACACAGAGTGAAAAGAAAATACTGTTTTAAAATAGTCTTCTACAATGACAAGGTGTTCACAGTCAGAATACCCATACTCTATCAGCTGCCAATACAGTACGTTATGGGAGTTCATTACAGCAGGTTACTCTCCTCGAATCTAGGTATCCACCTGCTGCATGGAGGGATTAGCATTTGACAGACAGAGGATAATCGGCATGAGTGAGAACTGGATGGGACGAGGGAGCTCATGGTATGAAGATGCTAAGGGAAGGGCTTAGAAAAAGGTGGAAGGAAACAAAATCAAAATAGAGAAAAATCTTTTGACAATTGAGAATTTTTCCCAAAGCAGCCTCATGCCTGGATGAGCAAAAGAAGTTAATTCTTCCCTATCCTGCACTGAACCCAAAGGCTTAAGATTAAGGGTAACAGTATTAGCTCCACAGATACACTGACAGTTACAGGACCCCAATCACAAACTGGGGGTGTCCCATGGCACAGACTTAAGTCTTCATAAGATGGAAGGGCTCCATCTCGCGATATGTAAGCTTTCACCCCCACTACAGCACCATCCTCTGTCACTACTGTGATGAAATATTAAAAAAATGAATGTTTAGAACACTCATTCACTGTTTCTTATATGTACAGAGTGTACATAAAAATACATCATGATAGCCGGGCGATGGTGGCGCACGCCTTTAATCCCAGCACTCGGGAGGCAGAGGCAGGCGGATCTCTGTGAGTTCGAGACCAGCCTGGTCTACAGAGCTAGTTCCAGGACAGGCTCCAAAGCCACAGAGAAACCCTGTCTCGAAAAACCAAAAAAAAAAAAAAAATACATCATGATTATTAACGACTTTGTAATGGTTCTTAAATAACCAGGACCAGTGGATACTTGATTAATGCCGTGGCTTTCGAACTTCTACAGGTTAAGGAGCCCTTGGCATTGCTTTTTCTGTCCCAAGAAAACTAAATCTTTGCTGAGGGGGAAACACAGTTCATCCTGACCACATTTTGTTTTACTAAACAGCTGCAAGTGTGTTCAAATGCTAGGTTCCATGGAGGACTTCCTCCAAACCACTGACAGTCAACAGTCTCTGGCCATCACATAGTTACAACAAATTCACACTGCAAAAGCTTATATACCTTCCATGTCAGGAGGAACAAGGTGATCACAGCAGAGAAGAGAGATGAGTCAAAGAAAGTAAGTACTGGGCATGAGCAGGTAGTGGGGCGCCTAATTAAAAAGTCATAATTGTGTCACACAAATCCTTCAAATACTTTAAAGTGATAGGCAAATTAGTAATGCTGTTCTCTTGATTGTAAAGTATTAGTGAAATATCGGAAGTCACATATATGGCTTAATGAAGAGCCTTTTCCTTATTCTCAACACCTAGGAAGAATGGACAGATAAAAAGTCAGATAGCAATCAGAGATTATCAGTTATAAATGTAACTCCCCATCCATTTCTGGGAAACACCACCACCACAAGTTTCTGAGTAGTCACTATGAAGCCAATAGTACGGTAGGCATGTCAACATACCTCATTTTGACCTGAGCGGACATTCAAAATAGGTGTCGTTTATTACACTAGAAAGCCAAGGAGTTTTAGGTGACCTTTCCAAGCTCATGGCACAGTGGCAGGGCGCGCTTCCTGACTTTACCACGCTTACGCTGCATGTCAGGATGCCATCTGGGAGCGCACGGAATTACCAAAGGTTGCAGTTGGCCTGATGAGCAGCAAACACACAGATGTACAAGTGGGTCCTTCTGAGGACCTGGTTCCAACGTCTACATAGGACCACTTACAGTGACCTATTACACACACAGATTTCCATGGCCAAGGACTTAGCGTCTACTTACATGTGTGTTTATTTGAACTAGCTCTTTGTAACTGTAGCAATTAATCATTTCTGCCTTGGGACTAGGTGAATTCCCCAGAGAACTTTCTAGTAACGAAGAACAAGGAGCCTGAACCCTAAGAGCTCAGGAGCTCCCTTTCAGTTCTTCCACCTCTGCTTCAGCTCCCTACACCAGGCTCCCACGCAGCCTCCTCTAAAGTTCAATAAGAAAGGCAATCCGAGCTCTTATACACCTCACTACACACTGGGGTGAGAGTGGGGTGGGAGTACACGAGCTGTCTAGGAGTAAAACAGCACGAGGAAAAGAGTTCCACAAAGTTGACTAAGATATGGCTCAATTTCTTAAAGGTAATAATTCTGACTCTCTCGAGTATCTCTAGGACTGGGCATTCAGCTCAGTGGCAGATCAAGTACAAGGGGCTGGGTTCAATCCCTAGCACTGAAAAAAAAGGAAAATATGTATGTAACTTATTTATAGACTCTAAATAGGGAAATACAGATTTAACAAGCTAAAATCTTATCCTGTAACATTCTACTTACAATTATTTCTAATAAAAAAATCTTTTACATTATATAATTACTATTAAAATGAAAACACAAAATTAAATATTTTTAGATCAGCGACTTCCACTGCCAATTTAATCTCTAAGTCATCCAAGACTTTAAAAACTGCTGGACGTGAAAACTGTTCTTAGATTTTGTGTCTTTACCTACTTCTGTTTTCTACTGTTATTCAATCAGTAGAGTCATTTTCTACTTTTATATTCTTATATAGCCTACTTACTAGAGTACCGACATAAACTATACAAATCTACTCCTATATACTGATACAGTCTCAGAGTCCTTTTCTTCATGCACAGAAAGAGACACAGCTGAAGATAAAGACACTGTCCCTAACACAGTCACTTCTGGCTAAAAATAAGCACATCTATAAGATATGGAAGACGGCTGCAGGGTTAGATATGATGGCTCCAACTTAGCCTATCATTCTGTCTGTCCCTTTACCAAGATAAACATCTCCTTTACCATGGCATTTTCTTCGTTTGGATGAGGGCTCATCTCTGTCAGAGCTCATGACGTAACTGGAGAGATGGAATAAGGATGTGTTGTGCAGATGGTCAGGTCTCCAATTATAGAACTGAAACTGAGTCCCAGAGTCAACCAGAAGAGGTGGTCTGCAGTTCAGTGCGAAATGCCTGCTGCTCAAGTATGGGTAAGGCGCACGGGCGTAGTGTCCAGGCCACCGCAGACAACTGGAAATGTGTCTGTTCCAGCAATACCTCTGCAGATCCTCCCACGGTGTGCTCCAGTCTCGACCCCAACTCTTCAGTGGATGGGGAAACATGGAGTACCTGGAAGAAATAAAGACACTCCTTGAGGTACCACTTTTTGTTCAGCTATAGTACATAAAATCCAAATCTATTTTCTACACGTAAGATGTCATCTCATATTTAAATTTACTTCTAAATCTGTGATGAATGGCCAATGAGTAATGACACACACCTTTAATCCTAGCACTGAGGAGGCAAAGGCATGTGGATTTCTGAGCTTGAGGCTAGCCTGGTCTACAGAGTGAGTTCCAGGACAGCCAAGGCTATACAGAGAGGCCCTGTCTCAAAACAAAACAAAACAAACAACCAAACAAACAAAAAAAAAAAAAACAAACCGAAAACAAAACTTAAAAAACCAACCAAACCAAACCAAACAAACTTTGGGCTAGAGAGATAGCTGCTCTTCCAGAAGACCTGGATTCAATTCCCAGCACCTACATGGCAGCTCACAACTATCCCTGACGCCATCACAGAGACAAAAGTGCATGTAAGAATGAAGAGGAAAGCACTCATGTTTAACTATCTCAACAAGAAAACACCAGACACCCCAAAAAGTTCATCCACAATCCAACTGAGAAGTTAGTCCACCAAAAATCCTGTGTTTAGATTTCAAAAACTAAACAGACAAACACATAATAAACCTAACAGTTCAATATGACACACATATTAGAATGTAAGAAAAAGCATGTTTCCTTCCAACTTGAGTTTAGAGTAAAAACATGTTTTGGAACAGCACTTTTATACCAAAGTTAAATTCTTCCCAAATACTGGTAAAGCTAAAATCTAAAATCCGTGAAAGGGTCCTGACTTGATAAAGCTACTTACTTCCTTTACTAACCAATGGGAGAACACGCTTTTCCATTCCTTCCTCGTTCTTAATCACACAGCCCTGGGGAAAATTAAGGAGCATAAGGACTATCTATTTACCAGGAATGCATCTATAACCAAACTGGAAGGCATCAGTTTCAGCAGAGTAGAATAAGACTGTTTCCTGTGTGTGAAGTTGCAAGTGCTTAGGTGTGCACAGCCAGAGGTTCCTGGCAGGTGTCTTTATTGTTCTTGACCTTGGATTCTGAGACAAGATCTCTCCTTGAACTTGGGAGCTGGAACTATTGAGTGGTCTAGAGTAGCAGATTAGCAAGCTCTGGGAGCCTCCTGCTCCTGCCTCCCCAACACTGGGGTTATGAACAGGTGACACCACTCCCAGTTTTTACATGGTTGCTAGGGGTTCCAACTCAGGTCCTTGTGCTGGGCAGCAAGCACTTAACCAACTGAGCCATCTTCCCAGTTCACCAAGCTGCTGTTTAACAGACATGCTGCTCTCAAGATCTCAAAAAGCACTGAACTTGACTTCTCGCTGCATCCTCTGGCTGGGGACTCAGAGGACTCCATTCCCTTGAGTTCCTGTGTCAACATCTACTATCGCTAGTGGGAGTCTGCAGAAGTTGCATTTCCTTATCAATGCTAGCTTTCATTTGAAACCATTTAGCTTTGATTAGTATATATTTGAAACATATCTCGAACTGCTCTCTAAACCAAACTGACTATAAATATTTAAAGGCACATCATGGGCATTATCTATCACAACATGGCCACTGACTATCAAAGTCATTCGTAGGGATCTCAGCACCTGGACATTTTTATTTTTAAAATTCAAAAAGAACTTTTTTGAGCCAGGCATGGCAACACACACCTTCAATCCCAGCACTCAGGAGGCAGAGGCAGGTGTATCTCTGAGTTCAAGACCAACCTGGTCTACAGAAAGAGTTCCAGGGCAGCCAGGGTTACAGAGAAACCCTGTTGTCTCTTGCAAAAAAAAAAAAAAAAAGAAAAGAAAAGAAGCAAAAACAATTTTTTTTTCTTCTGAGACAGGACAAGCTGGTCCTGAACTCTTAATCCTTACTTCTGCTGCAACCTTCCCGGTGTTGGCACTGTTGTTTCCTGTCTTGGTATGAGAATACACTGCGCCCTGCACTTGAAACTCTTTGGGTTTGGCAGTTACTACACCACTATCCTTTCTGAAGGCCAGAACCGCTCCATTCACCTTAAGCCACGTCTCTAACCAACGGACTACCTAGCACGATGCCTGGCACACAGCTGGCACTCACAACTGCCAGGAGGAACCAGGCATAACGGAGTTGGCGGATCCCAACGGCTTATGTAATGATGCCGTGCTATTTCCCACGCGTGGCACACCAGACGGTTTGAAAGGTTACACAAACCTCTGGAATCTTAACATCTAAGTCTTCAAAGTTTATTGGAGAAAAACACAACCAGGGCATCAAACCTAAGATTCGGCGGGCACTATTTGGGGTGATATTAATAGAAGCAGTATGTACTGTGGCGCTTTAAAATTCCAAGATTTTTTGGGGGGTGGGTGAGAGGCGGAGTTTCAGTCTAGTCCCGGCCACCCTCAAATTCACAGCTATCCTGCCTCAGCCTCCTGGGTGTTGAGATTACAGGAGTGAGCCATTGCGCTCGACTCTCAATGAATGAACTTCGAGAAAAATACTCAGGATGGAGTGAGAACTTGAGGGTGCCCAGCAAAGTTGGCCTCCGCCTGACCGAAGTTTGTGAGCAGAGGCGCTGGCCCAGCCACCCCGGGAAGCGCGGCCTCCCTCCAGGCCGAGCCTCGCGTGCGGGTGGCGGCGAGCGTGGGGGCCGCGCGAGGCCAGCAGGACCCTGGAGGCCGCCGCCCGCCCGGCCAGCCGCCCGCGCGTTACCTCTCCCTCGGCGCCGCCAGGCGCGTCCCCGCCGCGGACCCTCTTCCTCCGCCTTCCTCCCTCCCTCCCGCGCCCCGCCCCGGGCCGCCCGCCCCTTCCTCTTCCCTCCCGCCACGACTGACCGGCCTCGCCCCACCACACAGCGGCCGTAGCCCCTCCGCACACAGCGCCACGTCTCCATTTCAGCTCTCGGCGAGCGTCCAACGCTCAGGCCCACGGCTGCGCCTCAGTCCCGGCCACTCGCAGGGTCCCGCCGGATCTCCATCACTCCGCCTCGGCTCCGGCCCGGCCGCTAGGCATGCTGGGAGGAGCGTCTCTCCGTAGGCTGGGTCGCCATCTTGCCTTCTGGGACAAGTCCTTCGACCGCGCGACTCCGTGCATGCGCAGAGTGTGCGCGGGAAGCCGCTTTCGCATAGGGCAAAACTCCGGACCGCCTCTTAAAGGAGCAGAACGCTAATGCCGGGCGTCTCTATGAACACCTCTGAGCTGGCGCTGATGGAGACTTGGTTTGTTTTTCACGTGCTCGGGCAGATCCAAAAGGCAGATAGATGTTGAGGAAATACTGTTCTGTTCCAGGAATCCTGACACCTTCACACCAATGCACATAAAATAAAAGTTAAATAAATTTTAAAACAAAGAAAAAAATGTATCACTTTGAAATACACAAATGACATTAAGATGCATTCTTTTGTTTTTGTTTTAGAGATGGGTTTTCTCTATATAGCCCTGGCTGTCTTGGAACTCACTCTGTAGACCAGGCTGGCAGGAGGGAGCAGAAAGGTTGTGAGAGGCAGAGGTGGTGACGGCTACAAGGAAACTTTTTCAGATCCACAGGGCAGTTGTACTGTGTACAGTCTGTACTCAGCAGTGGTTGTGACAGCATGCACAAGCGCTGTGCAGAATCAGGGCAGACAAAATTCTAGCAGGGATTGGGAGAAAATGTCATGAAGTCTCCCTCCTAGCTAGGGAGCCACTGGCCGCTGATGGCTGTTGGAGGAGGGAAAAGTGAGTTTTCTTCAGGGATGCATCCGTCATGCTGCAGTACATGGCCCTGCTCTCACGTATGCAGCACTAAGTGGACTCGGAGGGTTTGAAAGAAAAGGGCGCAGGAAATCAGAAGGGAATGTGGAGAAATTGGAGGGGAGGGAAGAGAGGGGATGCATTTGGTGAATATATTATATGCACATAGCACATCCTCAAACTCTTTTTTATTTTTTTTTAAATATTTATTTATTTTTTTATGTATACAATAGTCTATCTGTATGTATGTCTGCAGGCCAGAAGAGGGCACCAGACCCCATTACAGATGGTCGTGAGCCACCATGTGGTTGCTGGGAATTGAACTCAGAACCTTTGGAAGGGCAGGCAATGCTCTTAACCACTGAGCCATCTCTCCAGCCCCTCAAACGCTTTTTTAAACAAATTCACAAACTTGACTTTACTGGACTTGGCACAGGAATGAACATGAATGAAATCCAGTTCATCTAGTCTTTTGCCTGAAAGGAAGTATTTCGGAGCCTGGATACTCTCTGAAACCTGAAAATCCAAGTGGCTAACATCAGTGTCTGTGGCCCTGGAGTTGTCAGGCTGATCTGGAGCAGAAAGTGGAACCGGAATGAATTCAGTGTCCCTCCCGAGGACCGCATCAGTAGTGGAGAACCTTTCACTCGGAGGACTCTATGACTAGAGAAGAAGGGGCCAGGGATGCGGTCATGTCAGCCAACTGCTTGCCTAGCACACACAGTGCTCTGAATGTGATGCCCATTGCCACATGAATTGGGTGTGGTAGTGCATGCCTGTAATCCAAGCATTCATGCAGTGGACACAGGAGGATTGGGTGCTCAAAACTACATAGGGAGTTCAAGGCCAGCCTGGGATACACGAGATCCTATTTAAAACAACAAACAAACAAATAATTCAAGAAATAGCTATCAAAATATAGCAGAAAGGAAAGTAGTATTTAAAGTCTGAATTTTGAGTCATAGCAGAAAACTTAGAATTACCTGGAAAGTAGCTCTCAAGTTTCTGAGCAGGAGAGGGACCAGGCCAAGTCAGGTGTGACAGGAAAGTCCATTGGGAAGGACCAATCTACTTTGCCCCAAGTGTATGAAGTCTTCCTTAGTTGTAGAGGGCAGGGCCACAGCTGGAACACAACACTTGTGGTTTGCTGACCAGCTCAGATCATCTTCTTGGATAGTGTGGCTCCATCCTGACAGAATCGAGTGGCTTCTAATTGCACTTGTAGTTAAGATCTATTCACTCATTTAATTAGCCCTACTCTCAAGAAAAAATGTCACAAATATTGTTGAAGCACCTGGCTTCCCCAGGGACAAGTTAGTTCTGCAATTTTAACCAGTGCCCTGTTGCTTTTCCCATCCATGTGTATCAGTGGATATTCTAGAGGTGTAAGTCTTTAAAGTATGATGACTTTATACATTTTAAAGCTATAAAAATGATGTGATATCCTGTATCTTCCTACAACTTCCTTTGCACTCTCGGCCACACTAGAACGAGGGATGTAGTTCAGTGGTAGGATACTTGGCTAGGACATTCAAGGTCCTGAACTCAACCCCTAGCACCTCAAAAGACAACATAGAATAAATTAGGGGCTGGAGAGATGGTTCTGCAGTTAAGCATGTGATGTGAGATTCCCCTCTGTATGCTATGAATATGTTTTATTACCATTGGTTATTTAAAAAGCTGTTTTGGCCAATGGCATAGTAGAGTAAAGCCAGGCAGGAAACCCGAAGAGGAATATAGAGAGAAAGTAGGCGGAGTCAAAGAGATGTCATGTAGCTGCCGAAGAAGAAAGATGTCAACAGCCAGTCAGAACCTTACTGGTAGACTATAACCTCATGGTGATTCACAGATTAATAGAAATGGGTTGATTTAAGATGTAAGAGGTAGTTAGAAATATGCATAAGCTATTGGCCAAACAGTGTTGTAATTAACCTAGTTTCTGTGTGATTATCTGCTGTTGGGCGTCTGGGCGGTTGGGAAACAAACAAGCAGCCTCTGTTGAGAAGGTTTCTCTTTGTTCTTACAGAGGACCTGAGTTCAGTTCCCAGCATTTATATCAGGCAGCTCACAACTGTCTGTAATTCCAGCGCCAGGGGATCCAATGCCCATGGTTTCCAAGGGTATTCACAGCATACATGTGGGTAACCACACATAGACACACACACATATAATTAAAGATAATAAATTTTTTTAGCTGGATGGTGGTGATGCATGCCTTTAATACTAGCACTTGGGAGGCAGACACAGGCAGATGTCTGTGAGTCTGAGGTCAGCCTGGTCTATAGAGCAAGTTCTAGGATAGGCTCCAAAGATACACATAGAAAACCTGTCTGGAAAAACCAAAAATAAAATAAATAATGCAAATTTTAGTGTTGCTTTTGCTGGCTTATTTTTAGCATATAATATCCCAAACACAATAACTTTTTGACCCTTGGCTTTGTTCTTATGTGTTTGTGCTCTTCCTGGCTTCTGTTTTGTTATTTCATCAATGCTTTTAGGAACATTGCCCATATTTTTGCTGTCTCTTTCTACATTCCCAAAGGTGCAGTTACTAAAGATACCGGATAAGAATGCATGTTCCTGATGCATTATCTCAGCTTGCTCTCCACATTAGTAGCTCACCCACTAGGTCGTAGGAGGGTATAGAAATTCCCATTGCTCCACACAGTGATTTCGTTTCTAGTTCCTACAGAATGTACTTCCTTCCTCTTTCCTGCCATCCTTTCTTCCCTTTGTTTCTTGAGCAAAGGCTTTGCCCCTCAGTTCAGAACTCACTCTGTGGTCTAGGCTGGCCTTGAACTTGCTATCTACACCTTGCCTCCTTCTCCCTAATGTTAGGGTTACAGTTTGTGTCTCTACACCTAACTCCTAACACACACACTCCAGTCATAATTCATATGCATATATATATATATATATATATATATACAGTCTAGGCTGGGCATGATTGTTATGGTTTTGGTCCCTTTAAGAGACAAGCCACACCCATTCCCCTCCCCATCCGCTGACGCCAGCTGATCTTCAGCTTCTGGCCTGAGCTCATCCACTTTTCCATCCTCCTCTCGGAGAGGCAGCTTTGCTTCTGCCTCTCTCCCCACTTCTCTGCTTCCCCCTTCTCTGTCTCTTTCTCCTCTTCTTTCTCTCTCCCTCTCTCTCTGTCCCCTCCTTCACCCTTCCTCCTCCATAACCCCCTGAATAAACATTCAACCTCACCCTGCATGTCGTGTCTATCCATGTTTCTGTCTTCTGCCCGCCTGCCATGTGTCTCCCTGCCTGGAACCAGCCATTGCTCAGGGACCAGCAGCCGTCTCTGCCTGGGGCCCACTGCCTGCTGCCACATGGCCCACCACCACTGCTCTGGGACCAGCAGCCTCTCTGCCTGGGACTGGCTGCTCCCAGGGCCCGCCGTCTGCTGCCACATGGCCCGCTACCACCATTTGGGACCTACAGCATTTCTGCTGCCTACTGCCGCAGGGATCTTGCAGCATTTTTTTAAAAAAGATTAACAATGATGATGCATGTATTTGATCTCATTCCTTGGAAGGCAGAGGTGGGCAGATCACGGTGAATTCAAAGCCAGTCTGGTCTACATAGTGAGGCCCTGTCTCAAAAAAAAAAAAAAAAAAAAGGAGATGTTTATAAAATGTGTGGTGAAAGGGCTATCCACCCCTGCTTTGGAGAAGGGCTATCTTAACAACATTCGGTCAACTGAAGATGGGTTGGTACAGGTGTCTGTACATAAATTTCAAGTCATTTTTGCATGTGCAGAATCATCCAGATCCTCCCAGACTGAAGGGGCAGTCCTGTGGCTTCCTTCCTTTTCCATATTCCTAACAAGGCTTCATGAACTTTAATTGTCGATGAGCTGCTTACAACAGCAGTTCCTTAGGAGTGACAGGTGACCCAGGATTTCCCTACGAGAAACAATCCGGCCATCTACAGAAGCATCACAATGAAATGTAAAATTGGCAAAAACATCTAAAGCTGAAAGTCCTGGGTATGATGGAGTTATTAGAAAGTTTATTTGGAGCATGTTCGAAGTATCAGCCAGACTGACCAGGAGAAAGGAAAAGATAGGTGAGACAGCATTCATGCAATTGATGCGAAGAGAGGGGAAAGGCGAGGGGAAAAGGCAAAAGGCTCCTTTCTTGCCAGCTGCCATCTGTCTTTCCTACATCAGCCAGTTTCCCTAGACAGAAAGCCTTAGGCAACCCCTCTGGATTCCAGGGTATGTGTCTGTCATATTTATCACGATGCATCGATGTATTTTGTTTACATATGACATGCTGTATAGAGAAGGATGATCCTTTGTAATTCCAAAGCTTAATTAGCATAACATCTGGCCCAGAGTAGGTGGTGAGTTCAGGGATAATGAATAAGTGACAAGCAGTTTTAAGAAGGTATAGAGATAACTCAGCAGTTACAAACACTTGGTGTGGCGAAGTGGTGGCAGCACACACCTTTCATCCCAGCACTCAGGAGGCAGAGACAGGTGGATCTCTGTGAGTTCGAGGGCAGCCTGGTCTATAGAGGGAACTCCAGGACAGATAAGGCTACACAGAGAAACCCTGTCTTGAAAAGTCAACCAACCAGCCAAACTTTTGAGAGTCTTGCTACGTATAGCAGACTACCCTGGAACCTGTGGCTGAGTGGATTTTTTTTTTTTATTTAGTTTTTCGAGACAGGGTTTCTCTGTGGCTTTGGAGCCTGTCCTGGAACTAGCTCTGTAGACGAGGCTGGTCTCGAACTCACAGAGATACGCCTGTCTCTGCCTCCCGGATTTTGTTGTTTTGAGACAGGGTCTCCTCATTTAGCTCAGGCTGACTCGAAACTCACTATTTTACTCATGTTCGTCTCAAACACGCAGGGGTCCTCTTGGTCCACAGGGGTGAACCTTTATGTGTGGTTGAGGCTCGCTGTGCATGCAGCCTGGTCTGGCAAAGACAGGCTGCAGACAAGAGGCTCCATCTGAAGAAACAGGGGACGTATCTGTCAGAGCGCTGAGATGTTGTGGGTACGAGAAGGCAACTTGAGCAGGGGAGGAAATGAGATGCGTGACTTGGGAGCTTCTGCTTCCATCACCCAGGACTCCACTGAAGCTTGAGCACAGGGCGGGAGGCTCCAACCTCTCTCACCAGCTCGCAAATTCTAGAAGACATCCAAGCTAGTGCACGAGGAGATTTAGTAGGGACGCCTCGGATGTCCACAGAGACTGGGACCGGAGCTCGCAGGGCAAGCGAGGTCACAGAGCTCGGAGAGAATCCTTACCCCTCTTCTTTCCGAACGCGGAGGAGGCTGATCCGGAAGTATATGTGGGAGACCGGAAGCAGATCCTCGCGGCAGGTCCCAGGAGCCACCGCCCCCTCGCCGCGGTGCTGTGTGCAAGTTGGGGTCCTCTGTGGCTGGGGCGTCCCGATGGTCCCCAGCTGGCGGAGTCAGGGGCGGAGGGAGGATGACCTCTCCTTGGGGTCACAGTGCCGACCTGGCCCGCTTCTACACTGTCACCGAGCCCCAGCGACACCCCCGGGGCTACACAGTCTATAAGGTTACCGCCCGGGTGAGTGCCTGGATAGGGACACCGGGGCGGGGCGCGGGCTTCGGACTGCGGCTGGGTGCGGCTGGTGGTAGTGAGGACTCGCGGGGATGGAGACTCAGACAGGAGGCGCTAGGTAGTAGACAGGAACTGCAGGCTGAGACGGGACCCTAGGATGGAGATACTAGGAACCCCAGACAGGAGACAGGGACTCCAGGCAGAAGAGACTCAAGATTGGAGATGATGGGGATCCCAGGCAGGAGAATGGACTCGAAGATAGAGATTCCAGGATTGAGATGCTGAGAACTCTCGGCAGGAGTCAGGACTCCAGGATGGAGATGATGGGGACCCCAGACAGAAGATAGTGACCCCAAGATGGAGATGATGGGGATCCCAGGCAGGAGAGTGGACTCCAGGTAGACAGGGGTGGTGGTGATGGGGGGCGGGTGGAGGGGTAGGAGTGTGGTGGGTAGATATGGGATGGAAGGCTCTGCTTTCCGTTCTGGGGTGGAATACTGGCGGATGACTTTAAATGGATGACCTAGTCTCTGTCCCACGTGGACTTTCTCTTAGAATGAAATTTGCAGGGGCGGGCTGGCTTGTTCCGGAGGGAAAACACACAGTTAAAAACGCTAGTGGGTGTTTTGTCTGGCTTATGTAACCGAAGCGCTGCCTGCTTTTCAGTTCTCATTTAGTGGCGCGTTTGCTGTGAGGCAGGTAGTCTGCTGGCGAAGGATTCACCATTAGTTCACCCGTCTCGGACCTCGCCTTTGTTGGAGTTTTTCTGAGCCTTTTCTGAAGGAGATGCATGTGTACTTAAGTGATCTTACCTGTGACTTGAGTGACATGAGGACAGACTGGGCTGTCCTCAGTAGATAGAGGTGCTTGCTGTCAAGCCCGAAGACCTGTGTTCAGTTCCAGGGATCAACACGGTGGAAGGCGGGAACTGACCCCTGCAGACTGTCCTCTGACAGCCAAAGGTGTCCCCTCCCCACCTCCTGCAAATAAATAACTGTTAAAATTTTTCTGAGGTTGTTTACATCAGTTCACTGTTCCAAATTTAGCACTGATTTTCTTAAGTTTTGTTGCTTAGCTTGAATTTTGAAACCTGCTCATTTCCCTCAGCAGCGAGTGAGAGTACTAATGACACGAAATGAGCACTTATGTGTGCAGTGCTGGTGTGTGCTGGGCATTGTGTACCCATCCCCCAGCGTATTATGTGTGCAGTGCTGGTGTGTGCTGGGCATTGCGTACCCACCCCCCAGCGTATTATGTGTGCAATGCTGGTGTGTGCTGGGCATTGTGTACCCATCCCCTAGCGTATTATGTGTGCAGTGCTGGTGTGTGCTGGGCATTGCATACGCATCCCCCAGCGTATTATGTGTGCAATGCTGGTGTGTGCTGGGCATTGTGTACCCATCCCCCAGCGTATTATGTGTGCAGTGCTGGTGTGTGCTGGGCATTGCGTACCCATCCTCCAGCGTATTATGTGTGCAATGCTGGTGTGTGCTGGGCATTGTGTACCCATCCCCTAGCGTATTATGTGTGCAGTGCTGGTGTGTGCTGGGCATTGCGTACCCATCCCCCAGCGTATTATGTGTGCAGTGCTGGTGTGTGCTGGGCATTGTGTACCCATCCCCCAGCGTATTATGTGTGCAGTGCTGGTGTGTGCTGGGCATTGCGTACCCATCCCCCAGCGTAATTTTCAACTTCATGATGAGGAAACAGATTCAAGGAAGTTTAGAAGTTTGCTAAAGTTTCTGTGGCAAAGCAGTAGCGCTTTGGTCTGTGGAACCAGTTCTGCCTAACTCCAAGATGAAGACAGTGTCAGGAATTAGCTCAATTGCTAGGGTTGATTCTTGAGGAAGACAGGTGTGGGTGAAGGAGTAACAAGAGAGCAGCATCGCAGTATCAGTTTAGAAAGCATACAGGAAGAGGTTCCCGAGAACCCGAGACTAGACTGGGCTAAGCTGAGCTTGGGACTTGCAAGTGGCTGGTGGCATTTGGAAATGGTGCAGAGTCAGACAGATGTAAGATGCTGGCTTGAGCAAGTCTGTCAAGATAGCAAGAAGACCAACTTCATGAAGAATAGGAAGAAGTTTGCCTTCCCTTTTTGTAGGTCAGATTGTTGTATGGGTGGGTGTGAGCTGTAGTTTTTCTGAGAAATATAACAACATGAGGGGCTTTTTCCTATGTCATTCTTGAGGCCTTTTTAGTCACGGATACCTTCGATTTCCTGATACAAAGCTTATAGAATCAGAACACCAGCATTGCATCTGTTGGCCTACAGGCCTTTGCCTCTTACTAGACAGACCGTAGGTTTCTCACGCTGGAAGTGGTTTCATTTCAACAAAAGCACTGGTCATTGCATTGGCCCCAGGCTGTTTGCCCTCTTCTTTTTTCTTTTTATGTTTTATGTATTTTTATTTTATGCATATGAATGTTTTGCCTGCACATAAATATGTTGCTACATGTGTGTTGTGTGCAGACAGAGAGTCCGTAAGAAGTAATTGAATCTCCAGGAACTGGAGGTATAGATCACAGTGAGCCACCATGTTGGTGCTGGGACTTGCATCTTGGTCCTCTGCAGAAGCAGTGAGTGCTCTTACCACCGAGTCATCGTTCCAGCTCAGATTGCTTTCCTCTTTATCCTGGGCACCATGTGTATTGGGGTGTGCAGTTCCAGGCACTTGGCTCTAGAAGGTATGCAAGGGAGTGCTCTGGTTTCCCTTTTCTACTTACGGTAGAGTGGAGTTTGTTGTGCTTAACTAGATACAGTAGTACAGGAAGGTGTGTAGTGCCGCAGGCCCTAGGAAAGAGCTGTGGTGCTTAGAAGACAGAGTGCTATGACCCTGGTGGGGCAGGGTGGGAGGAGTCATGAAAGGAGAGGATGATGGAGATGGAAGAAAGGGACAGAGCCTATGAAGGCCTGGGAGTATGACTGAAAGCCCTGAGTGTGATAATTGTATTATTACTTTCCAAAACAGAAGGCTGTCAAATGCAGATTTAAAGTTTCTCAGTATATGGGCTGGGGAGATGGCTCAGAGGTTAAGAGCACTGACTGCTCTTCCAGAGGTCCTGAGTTCAATTCCCAGCAACTACAAGGTGTCTCGCAGCCACCTGTAATGAGATCTGGTGCTCCCTGTTGGCCTGATATCCCATCATAAATTAGGTGATGTAGCACATGGCCTTAGAAACACTCACACGCCCGTGCTGCGCATACTGCCTGTTGCCGTGTTCACTGAACTTGAAGACTGTTGACATTGACTCTCTTCTCTCTATAAGTGTCCTCATTTACTGCTTACATTCCAGACTGTGCTTTTTACAGTGTTAGCAGTTTTTTTTTTTTTTTTTTTGTGGTTGTTTTTAGAACTGAGGATCAAACCTGGGGTCTCAGAAGTGAGAACCTGTACCACTGAGCTATGCCCACAGCCCGAGGTTTTTGTTTTGTCTTTAACATTATTTGTTTGTGTGTGTGCATGTGTCTGTGTGAGTGTGGCTGCTGACATGCATGTGGAGGTCAGAGAGTAGCTTGTGGGACTTGCTTGTCCCATCACCACTTGGGCTCTGGAGGTTGAGCCTGGGCTTATTCTCTGAGCCTTCTCAGTGGTCCCACAGCCTGGGTTTTGTATGTGTTCGGATTTTGTTTTTTAAATTAAGGATCAACATGGAGGTGCATTTAAAAAACAATTATGCCTAACATTAGGAATCAAGTAAAATGTTTATTGCTTTTTTGGAACGTAAGAAGAAAAACAACTTTCCTCAGGAGAGCTAATCAGATAATAGTGCTCCCCTGAGAAAGCCTCAGGATACAAGTTAGATGAGCTTCCGCCTGCTCGCTGCTCCCGATTCAGAGCTTGAGGAACAGTTTTTGATCATCAGGAGTGAATTAGAATCATTCCATTTTGGACAACAAAGTAACTCTTTCTTTTATATTCAATCTCTTTAGTACCTTTCTCTTTCTATTTTTAATTTTCTAGAACCTGGCAGGCTTACGATAACTTCGTAGTTATTTAGAGGCAAAGCAACAGATGCCCCTATTACTTCTTTTTAGTTTTTGTTTTCAGAGTAACTAGAAGTATTTTACTAGAATGTAAGAATTACAGAAGTTTCCAGAGCAGTCATACATAGTGGTCGGAAGCTTTTTTGACCTGAGGTTAGACTTATGTAGGCTCGTATCTGAAGGGTCGCTTAGCTGGTTCTGATCAGTGCCCACTGTGTGGTTGCTTAGCTGGTTCCGAGAAGTGCCTACTGTGTGGCTGCTTAGCTGGTTCCGAGCAGTGCCTACTGTGTGGCTGCTTAGCTTGTTCCGAGCAGTGCCTACTGTGTTGTAGTGAGGAGGCGAGCAGGCCTGCTTTTCGTCCTGCCCGCGCTCCCGAACGGCTAGCTTAGCTCCGGAAATAATAACACGGAAACTGTATTCTTTTAAACACCACCTGGCCCATTATTTCTAGCCTGTTATGGGCTAACTCTCACATCTTGATTAACCCATTTCTAATAATCTTTGTAGCACCACAAAGTGGTGGCTTACTGGGAAAGATTCAGCATGTCTGACCTGGCGGCTGGCTCCATGGTGTCTGTCCAACTATGCTTTCTTTCTCCCAGCATTCTGTTCTGTCTACTCCACCTATCTAAATCCTGCCCTATCAAAAAGCCAAGGCACTTTCTTTATTAACCAATGAGAATAACACATAGACAGATGACCTTCCTCCATCACTGTGTGGTTGCAGTATTTTTATCTGTTTGCCTATTGATGGACATTTGGGTTCCTTCAGTTTGGGGCTGTTTGGGATGCAGCTCCTGTGAACACTCGTGTGCACTGTTGGCATGCGTGTTTTTTTTCTCTTGCAATCACATAAATTTAAAATTTATAATTTTTTACTATGTCTTTGTACTAAATCTTGAAAACAGGTCATGTAAGTACTTTCAAAATTTGTATTTTTGTTATTTATATTGCTTGCAGTTTTATATGAAATTGAAAAGCAGCTTGCCAAAATTCTTCAAAAATGCCTACTTAGATTTTT